TATCGTTAATATAATATTTATTGACCTTGTTTTTATTCTTTAATTGTTTTTTTCTTTTTATTTTTATACTCTAAAATCTCAGTTACGGTGGAAAAGTTTATATTCACTAATGCAGAAAAGGTTTTAGAGAAAATAGCTCACCTCCTCATAACTCGTTGGTGATGCAAAAAAAAGACTTGGGCAGCTTGTTTTGGGAGGGAACATTTCTTAAGAGAACACGTCTTTTCCAATGTTTACGGGTCCCATCAATGTTATTCACCAATGTGTGATTCTCGAATGGCTCCACTTTGCAGCTTAATGTGGAGTGAGACAGTGGCAACCGCCTACTAAATTGATAATAGAAAGGTGTACAACGTAACTTGGACTAATAAAATTCCCCATTATTTTCGGTTAGTTCTTGGAATGAGGAGTAGTTTCAGTTTTTACGTATTATTTCCATATCATGGGTTTTATGGTTAACCAAAGAGATTTCTTAGGGCCAATAATTAGCTGAGAATTATGCTGAGCCCATAATTATGCTAGTTTACCTTCTAGACTCTATTTCTATCCGTCCGCATGTAGATCCATAATTACGTATTTTTGGGGTTAACCCATTACCCTACATGCGACTAATAAAGAGATCCACGTATCTTATATTAAAAATGGGTTATTTATTTCATATCATTTTTATTTTATTTTATTCAATTTGATCTCTTATTTTCTATACATGTAAATGATGAGCCCAAAATTATGCTAGTTTACCTTCTAGACTCTATTTCTATCCGTCCGCATGTAGATCCATAATTACGTATTTTTGGGGTTAACCCATTACCCTACATGCGACTAATAAAGAGATCCACGTATCTCATATTGAAAATGGGTTATTTATTTCATATCATTTTTATTTTATTTTATTCAATTTGATCTCTTATTTTCTATACATGTAAATTAATCTTGTCAGCTTTTAATTTTTATGATTAAGTCTCTATTTCATTGATTAATGATATGTACATTTATTTTTGTGATTTCCGAAGGACCAAATTGGATTGGAAAAGCTTGTACAAAGGGCTTGGAATCTTAATTAGCAAATTCAAAGCTAGGATTTTAAGGTGATTAATCCGAGGCAAGATCAGAGAAAATCACATCATGAGAGAAATTTAAGATAAGATTTTAAGATCAGAATATTTAGACTTATCGCTTGTTAATTCATGTTTTATATTACATGATTTTGTTGATTGAGAAAGTCTTTAAGATCAAATTAAATGATCAGTTGAAGCATAATTTTGAATGCGATAAAAAAGATCAAGCATAAATTTCTATGAGACCTTTATATATGTTTGATTGAAAAGTAGTGTGATAGATTGAGAGAATGCATGTATAGGATTGGTTCTGGGAAAGACTTGGTATTTTAGCGTGCCTAGTGTGTTACCTCTCTTTTTCCGGAGACCTACCTGGTGCATTGTTTGTTTCTATTTTTAATCCAAGACATATGTTCATGGTGGGTCAATCCAATATATTCTTCTCTAACAATATAATCATGTATCAATTATGACATCTCTATGTCAATGACAACTCATTGTCATCAATTAATAACATGTTAGTCTTAATGTTGAACTATGTTTTGATATAACAATTTAAGGCAAAATGGTTTTTGGACTTGAATTGAATTTACAAAATGTTTTTGGACTTAATTGAATTTATTCAAAGTTTTAAAAGGTTTCAAAAATAATTCAAAGTCCATTAAATTCGGATTTGAGCCAAAATGCTAAAGGGTGTCAAAGTGCATCCATGCACCCCTGCAGTGCATCCATGCAGTGCATCTATGCACCTGCACTAGTGCATCGATGCACAATGATGTGCATCCATGCACTCAAACACCGAATGCAATTAGTGCATCGATGCATCCTTCTGTGCATCGATGCATCAAGGATGTGCATCGATGCATCTTGTTGTGCATCCATGCACGAAGGCTGCAACGGCTAGTTTATTTGAATTTAATGAAGGGGTATCGATGCACCATGATAGTGCACCGATGCACCATGTTATGGGCAGCCTTTTTGAGTAGCAAAATCATCCCCAAACGGCTCCAAAAAATCCCCAATGGCTATATACAACATCAAACACATTCCAAGCTATAAATACAAGCTAAGGACACTTGAAGAAGTAAGAGAACAACTATCCAAGCAATCAAACACAAGAGAAGAGTTTTTCATTCTTATTTCATCTTTCTCTTGTAAATATTTTGTTCTTGTGAGCTCAATCTTGTAAACACCTACCTTAGAGAGGTTTTCTTGTTTACATCTTTTATCCTTTTGTAATGGGGAAATGTTCTAGCTTATCCCGTGTAAAAGCTAGGGAAAGGTTCTAGTTTAGCCCGAAAAAACTAGGGAGTTGTAAAGTTATCTCTTTGTCCTCAAAAAAAGAACAAATTAGTGAATTTGTTGGAAAATCCTTGGTGAGGAGCTAAGGTAGTGGATGTAGACTTTGGTTGAGAAAGTAGAACCACTCTAAATCGTTGTGCAATTTTCTATCTTTTAATCTCCTTACTCCCTAAACACAAAACCATTCCGACCCCTCTTTACAAACTGTTCCGGTTATCGATTCAAGCTTCCAAAAATCTCAACAATTGGCATCAGAGCCTAACTCGTTAAGAAGGTTTAACCACCTTGAGACGATCCTCGAAGAATCTCTACCAATTTCTGACGCAACCGACAAAGAAATGACTTTTTCCTCCGGTGCTTATTATCTTGAAGAATATCCTATTATGAATTTACAACTGGTCAACAAGTCACCCTTCTTCAATGGAGCAAATTATACACATTGGAAGAATAAGATGATGTACTTTATTCAATCCTACAATCTAGGAGATTGGAACTCAATTATGGATGGTTACTCCTCTCCACCTGGCAAGTACAACGATTGGAGTAGAGAAGAACAGAAAAATTTCCAGCTTAACTCTAAGGCTATACATATTCTATTATGTGCTTTAGGACCAAATGAATATGGAAGAATCTCATCTTGTTCCAGTGCCAAAGAGATTTGGGATAAGCTCCAAGTCACTCATGAAGGAACCGACAAAGTGAGGGAATCAAAGAAAAGTCTTCTCAACCATAGTTACGAGAACTTCAATATGAAACCCGATGAAGATATCAAAGCTATGACGGATAGATTTTCTGTGATTGTCAACAGTCTCAAGGGATATGGAGAAGTAATCCCTAATGAGAAGCTTGTAAGGAAGATAATCTACTCTCTTCCAAAGGAGTGGAAATCGAAGAAGACGGCCATTATCGAAGCAAGAAACTTAAAGTCTCTCACTCTCGACGAGCTAATTGCTTCCCTTCTCACTCATGAGATGATGGTGAAGGAAGATGAAGAAAGATAAGAGAATAAAAACAAGAAGAAGAAGGAGGTAGGCATTGCCTTCAAATCCACCAATGAAAGCTATCAAGATTCAAGTGATGAGGTGGATGAAGACGATGATGAACAAAAAGAAGAGATGGTCAAGCTCTTAAAGGAACTTAAGAGATTCATGATTTCCAAGGAAGTGAAACATGAATCAACCAAGAAGAAGAGTCCCCCTATATGCTTCAATTGTCAAAGAAATGGGCATGTCAAGTATGAATGTCCTCTTCTAAAGAAAAAGGGGAAGAAGACATTTGTTGCATCATGGAGCGATGAAGATAATTCCAATGATGAAGATGAAGTAGTCAACCTATGCCTCATGGCCACTCAAGAAGAATTCAAGGTATCTTCTAACTCAAATGAATTTAATTTATTTACTTTTGATGAGTTACAAGATGCTTATAATAGGTTGTATTTGGGATTTGAGACCATGAATTCCAAATATACGAAATTAATTTCAAAACTCAAAATTGAAAATAAATCGATTTTGAAAGCTAGAGTTGATTTTGAAAATCAAAATGAAATTTTGAAAAATGATTTAGAGATTTCAAAAATCAAAATAAATGATTTAGAAAAGGCAAATTTTGAGTTAGGAGTTAAGCTTAAAAGCTTAATAAAAGAAAAAGAATTAATTTCTAAAAACAACCTATTATGTTTAGAAATGACAAAATGCTCACATTGTCATTTTCATGGTCATAAGGAACATACTTGTCCTTTGAATAAAGGAAAACGTTTTAAAATTAGGCAAGTATGGGTTTCGAAAGGAACAAGGGGCAAAGAAACTAATGTTCAAGGATCCAAAGCAATTTGGATACCAAAATTTACTTAAATGTCTCTTGTAGGTGTGTGGGAGCAATGGTGATAAAAGTGATGATATTCAAGATGCTCTAGCCACACATGAAAAAGGAATGGGTAACCTCTAAACTTAATGCTTTTGCTTTTGGTTATTTGGTTGCTCATTTGGATTTATGCATGCATGAGTTTTGATTTTGAATGATTATGCATTGTTTTAATCTCATGTATGTTGAAAACATGTTTTATGATGAATATTTTAAAGTTTTAAATGATTTTTCAGAATTTTTAGTTCATCATAATAAAATTTTGGTCAAAATTAGTTTTAAATGCAAACGATATCTCTCTAACAATTGATATCAACTTTTCAAATACTTTGATTTTATAAATTTTAAATTTTGACCTAAATTTAAATGTTTATACATGTGATTTAAAATGCAAAAGATATCTCTCTAACAATTGATATCAAAATTTTCAAATGCATAACATTTTTGGAAAACTTTATGCATATGAATTTAATTTCAATAATTGATATTGCATAAAATATTTTAGACTTGGATGTATTGAATTTCATGTGCTACTAACATGTTTGTTATTCTTTGTTGAAATTCAATTTTGTTTAAGTTTCATGATCTTAAAAGTTAAATTTTGTTTGGAATTCTATTATTGAGGGGGAGCTTTGATTTTTCAAATGATTTTTAAATGTCAAATTTACCACTTACTCTCCAAAGTTATTTTGAACTTCAAATATTGAATTATTTTTTATATAACAAAAGGGGGAGAAGTTTGGTTTGAAAAATTCAATTTCTTAATGAAAAAGGGGGAGCTTAACATTTTCGGTTGATCGATAGATCATCATAAATCCCAACAAGATCAACCCGAATACCCTCAGCTGAAACAACATGATCGAGGAACACTACCTCACTCAACCCAAACTCACACTTAGAAAACTTCGCATACAAGTTGTTTTCCCTCAACACTTGTAAGACAATCGTAAGATGCAAATCATGCTCTTCCTCAGAACATGAATACATCAAGATATCATTGATGAACAACACCAAAAAATGATCTAGATACAGTTGAAACTCACAATTCATCAGATCCATTAAAGCAGCAGGTGCATTCGTCAACCCAAACGCCATCACCAATAACTCATAGTGACCATAATGCTTCTGGAAAGACGTCATTATCACATCTGACTCACTAACCTTCAACTGGTAATACCCTAAATGAAAGTTAATCTTAGAAAACACCTGAGCACCCCAAAATTGGTCAAACAAGTCATTGATCTTCGGTAAAGGGTACCAATTATTTATGGTCAACTTGTTTAACTGACGATAATCGATACACATACGCCTCGTAATGTTCTTCTTCTTAACAAATAAAACTGAAGCACCCCGCGAATAAATACTCATACGAATAAAACCTTGATCCAATAATTCTTGCAACTATGTCTTTAATTTATTCAATGCCTTAGGTTCCATGTGATAAGGAGCAATAAACACAAGAGCTGAATCGGTATAAGTATCAATGCGAAACTCCACCTCACACTCTGGCAGCAAACCCATAATCTCTTCAGGAAAAACATCAAGAAAATTCTTAACTGTCTGAATATCCTACACGCTCAACTCTTTACCACTCGGATTAAGAACATAGGCCAAGAACACCTCACAACCATAACCCAACATCTTACTTGCATCTCAAACCGACACTAAACTTGAAAGAAACCTCAGCCTCTCTCTAAAAACCACAAACTTGACTTTGTTTGACATCTTCAAGATTTCATAAGACAATTTGAAGTCCAAGTGCACACTATGCTCACGAATCCAATCGGTGCCCAAAATACCAAAATAACATCGAACCCATGGAATGACAACTCCATCAAATCTGCTAGAAATACCTCATAACCTTAATACTAACATGAATACTCAACCAACTAGCCAAACGACTAAGGATATAATAATGCGTAAATCAGAATATATTAAATCTCACTGCACCCGCACGACCTCGACCTCTACCACGAGCCTGACCCATCGAATCACCAACATCAACATGTTTGCCTTTTTTGGTAGGATTAGGATCATCGTTATATAACTCAACCCTTTTTAGACAATCTCATAATTGATGACCCACATCCACATCGGAAACAACCTCCAATAAGACACCAACACTAACCGACATGCTTCTTGCTATAAGTCAAACATAATGGAGACTGCTTCCACCACTCACTAGACTAGTCACCCTACTGGACTGCCTTTGAAGAGAATCACGATGATCAAAACCTCGACCTCTCTTCGTCGGACAACTTTGGGAACTAAGATCTATCAATCTATTTCTAGAGAACTCTCGAAATAGATCACTACCCAAGGTATTGTCAACATCTTTAGCCAGATCCACCAAAATATCAAACACATCTGAATAACTAGTAACCAAATACAAACTAATCTCCCTCTTAAGACCATCCTTAAACCTCTTACACCTCTCTGGCTCTATCAAAACTATCTCTCTAGCGTAATCGTTCAAGAAAATAAACTCCACCCTGTACTCAAATACCAACATACACCCCTAAACCAAATCTTATATCGGTATATTGCACAGCTAGAAACTTGCACCTAAACACCTCTAGAAAATACAACCAAGCCAACCTATCATTAGCAACACTCCTCTTAATCGTTGTCCACCAACGATATGCATCACCTTGCAGAAATTATGCAACACAACCCAACTTGTTTCCATCAGGATAACCCATCTAATCAAAGATCCACACCACACTCTCAAGACAATCCTTAACAACTGTCGGCTCGGTCCAACGAATACTAAAAAAACTCATTGGCATCGAAAGCCCTCAAATATTCTAACAATAAACCTCTATCGCTGGCATAGGCATAGGCATAGGAACAGGTGCAACATCAAGAACTACTCGGTGAAGGTAACTGATAATTACATCAGTTAACATGTCGATATAAGGATTTGATTGTTGAGACGTAGGCAGGGTTCATTGGCACCACTTCTGATATTTTTTGCATATACTCCAATGGTAGGACAGTTACCCTTTGGAACACCTAGAATAGTACATTGTGATTCCATCACAAACTAGACTAAACACTACACAATTAAACAAACAAGGTAAGAAACGCGCCGGTGATCAAGGCAAGATCTGTAAAAAAATTCAAACCAAATGTGGCAATGTGGTTCCTATTTTCTACCCGAACAAACAAACATGCAACATCATCAATTTTCATAACCTCGCTCTGATACCACCAAATGTAAAACCTCATACCTGATCACGAAGAAATCCTCAAGTACATAAGCGTACATTAGATTTTGAACTTGTTAGATAAAATAGAAACCCTAAAATATGTGAACTATACGAAAGCTACAAATTTAAATCATACATCATGCAACACATGGTAGCGTATAATAATGATAACATTTAGAGTCTCATAACAATCAAAACAGTGCATGATAATCACAACCAAACAGTGAGAGTAAATTAGTCATTTTGCATAACCAAATATTCCAAAGATAAATTACTAAAATAAGTTTATGAATATTCATTATTAATCCTTAACTAGTGATATGCAAATTTCCATATGAATTAGACAAAAAATAGGGACCTAATTGAAAATATGTTTCTAGGGACCAATACATAAATAATGCAAAGTTACATATGAGCAGGGAACATGCAATTGACTTCTTCATTATGAAATTTAGTGTATTAAAGTGTGATAAAATAAGTCTCATTGAATTTTGAGTTAAGGTCTAATATTAATTAATAATTCAATTTTTGGACCATTTTGAACTTATACAATCATCGTGGGGTTAATCTAAGACTTAAGGACACTTAACACCTTTAATGAATGCAATTTAACCATTTTTCATCAAGCACATAGAGAAATGATCGATTCTTTTTAATGAGGGATCGATCATTTGCAAAATAGTGAGTTTGGGATTGATCATTCTATACAAGAGATTGATCCTTTTTTCAGGAGAAATGCATAATTCTCAAGAACACGCATAAGGTATTTACCAAACTTTCACATAATCAATCGTAGGGACTAAATATATGATTGAAAACTTTCTTACCTTACCATACATGTCTGAATACACTTTTAACATGTTTTATAGCATATGTCTCAACATCATAAAATGATCTTACACCAAAAGTCAAATATTTTATAATGTTTCACTTTTAACACAAGTCACTTAGTCCAATTATGTATTTTGGGTCATTTCATGCATCCTATAAGTCTAGTATGTTTAGTACACTTAGTGTCACTTGTTGAAACACACCAAACACTTCCTTAAGGAACAAATCAACATTTGGCTACATTAATGCTCAACTCAACCAACAACTTGAGTTCAACATCCCAATAAGCAAATCAAACCAATGACCAAACTCCAACATAAAATCAATGGTCCATAAAACATGTCACACTTATTACAACTCAACATATCAACAATTATCTAGGTCCCTAAATGATTCTCACATTGCCATTATATGAATTCAAACCACATACACTTTAGTTAGTAATGTCTTGCTTAACCACTCCAGATTCTTGCTTCTCTTCTTTGACTCGCCTACTAATCCTCTAAAAAGTGTTAAACATTGAGTGTTAGCTAAAGAACCAGTGAAATCCTAACATTCTAAGCAATGCACATTCCAAAGATAAAGAAAATACCTACATTTTACTCCTCACTTGTTTTTACCTCAACATTCATGCCATCATGTCATGCTTTTATGCTTACTTATTGCATCTAAAATGCACATAAAATATAGAGTTTACACATGACATTTATCATCATATGTCCAACATAAAACATATACACTCATGCACAATTACCTCTTTGGAAAGTCACACGCATTGCACACATTATTTCAATTAAAGATGAATGACCTTTTGTTCAAAATACAACTCGCTCACTAGATAAACAGACTCCATAAAACACTCATTTATTTATGGACTCACTTAGATCCAAAACCACGACTTTCAAAGTAAATTTAATGAACCAACCTTACCCCGTAATCTTTTCGAAGCATTGCTCAACGCAACAACCTTACCCCGTACATCCCTTTGTTCAAACACTTATAGAAAACAATAGAGTACTTTTTCCTATTCATGTCTTTCATATCCAAAGGTATCATTAAGAACAAATACTCAATTAATCCGAGTTCATCAAGAGTGGTTATCAAATGATGCATAGCTTACACATATATACTTTCAAAATACATTTTGAAACACTTATTAGAAATGGTTGTCATGGTCAACCTTATATGGATAGAGAGATGCTCATTCATCCATGTACACTTTCACTTATATATACACTTTCAAATACACTTTTAAAACCACTATGCATCATTTGTAACACATACACAATTCACATAGCATATCCACATTTCATATTGCATTTCATGTCAATCATGTGCATTAATAAAGATTCATCTATACTAGAGTTCAAGATAAGAGAACATCCTAAACTACACCTACTTTTACCCTTGAACATGTTCATCCACTAACAATGAAAGTCACTCACCTTTACTGTCCACTAACCTAAATAGCTTCCAAACACTTAGCAAACGTTCACCAAAACATGATGCACCAATTTTCCTTAATGATCAATACATGAAACACCTTACAAAGAAAAATAACACACCAAAAACACATCCAAAATAGAGCAGAATTTTATGTTTCCAAATCAGAGTGAAAATACTGAAATTACAAAAACCTTACCGGAACAACTCTCCGAGCTTCTGATCCAATTGGAACTACTTCTCTGCAATACGAGCTGATCAATAACAACTAATATGAACAAATAAACTCAACTAAAACCTCATAAAACATCAATTAATCATAATTCCCAGATTTTCAGAAAATATCAAAATTAAGATTGTTTTAAAGAAATCAATATCCAAATCAAATGAGATTGAAAAAATGATTTAGTATGATCATAATACCATCAAAACATCTAAATCAACACAAGAAAACCTTGAAAATTGATCAAGAAAAATAACACATTAAATACCTTTAAAAATAAAGTTTAATTCACAAACTTCTCTTTAAAAGAATTTATTAATTAAAATCATCAATCACATTGGATCATTAATCATTGAAGAACAAAAGAAACCAAGGAAAAGAGATTTACCTTGCTGAAAAAGAATGAAAGAAGAAGATCAACAATGGCAACACCAAAGAGATCAAGGGAAAACGATAAAGAGAAAATGAGAAGAAATAATCTTGATTGAAGAGAGAAATCAAGAAGAAAGAAATAAGAATCAATACCAAAGGAATAGAAAATGAAGAAGAAGAGTTTCAGCCATGAGAGAGTTTTGAGAGAATTTTAGAGAGAAAATGAAAGGAACGGTTAATGAAAATTAGAAATGAAATTGACAAAAGATTAAGGGAATGATTCTATATGAAAAATTGAAAACAAAAGATTAAGATACCGTTAAACTTGGAAGGAAAAACGCTAAACATAAGCCTTGGTATAGCTTCATAGATTTTGATTTGTGATCTCTTTACAAATTAGTCACTAAAATCACAATTTTCAATTCATTCAATTTAGTAACTTAGTAAAATCAATTATAAATTCTCAAAAATATAAATTAATAATTCAAAAAAATAAATTATTTTATAAAAATATTAATATTTTTACTAAAAATCCAAAAATCAACCCGATTACTGACCAGAAACAACAACCTCGACTCTGGGATGTTACAATATAGTTTATGGTCATAAGAATAATGTTTATGAAAATGAATTATTTATAAATTGCATGAATCTTTTACCGTTTTACCCCTATATTGAGTCAATAAATGGATGTTTATTTTTTTCATTTCATATGACACTTTAAGAGAAATTTTTCTAAGCAATTGTTTGCTTTAGAAATACTCTCCATGGTTTTTATAAACATGTTCGGAGTGACGCTTTGAGTTTTGAGAGAAGAGCGATACCAACAAGTCCATTTCGTCTTTGGGGTGTATGGTTTTTGAGAGTCGTGCTAATCTCGGGGGCATTCGTCCACTGTAGCGATTACACACATCGGGATGAATTCGTTTCTAAGGCAGTGGATTGCCACGACACGATTATTGTTCCATTTAATTATTTTATTTAATATTTTCAGTCAATACTAATGCCTCGTTTTGCAACAATATATTTTCCGACAATTTAGATTCGAATTCAATTGTTGTAAGACATATAGATGATTCAAATTTTATACGAAAATAACTCTTTCTTAGCGAAATCGAGGTACTGCCATTGCTTTTGGATAAAGTTTTGATATTTATCAAAATGATGCCTGAAGAATGACAAATATGATGAATGATAGTGAGTAATATTATTCTCCATGAAACTCTCGTATATTTTTATTAAACGTTTAGTTATATGTGGGTTTTATTAAACGTCCTTAAAATTTTATATGGAGTAAGAAATGCGGTTTCAACATTATTGAATTGCAAGTATAGATTAATACGTTTCATGGGGCATTTAGGGGTATTAAACATAATTTCACGGTTATTTATATGTTATAACATGCGGTCTTTAATGAGTTATTAATCGTTTCGGTGATAACACCACAAATTGTGTGTAAAAGCTTTTAAAACAAAAATTTTAAATGGTAAATTGAGAGGGTTTATATATTTTTATGAGGTTAAGCTTGATGACCATGAAAGAAATCTTTGTTATTAAATGATTTTTTTTAAAACAAGTTCAAAATCATTTTAAATGGCTCGTTAAAGCAATCTGTTTGGATTTCTATTTTTCTGCTACAGCTTAAGGTGGTAATATGCCACATGAGCTTTAATTTATAGAAACGTCAAAAATTTTATGGGTGCAATGGGTTAATATTAATTGTAGACGGTTATGATTTTCTGTAGTAACATAATTGTTTATTTCAAATTTAATTAATCTGTTCTTTTGATGAAATTAATTAAATTAGTATAACAGGCAAATTTAGTAA